TTTCAAACGGACTTATTTATCTTACTACTTGGTAAAGAGTCACGCAAGAAATTGGAATAAAATCAAATGTAAATCTGAATTTTATTTTTGCTTTTTAAACTTTTATAACGTTTAGTTCAACTTACAAATATATGTAATACATGTATATATATACAGAGATGGTTTTAGTAAAAATGTTTCAGTAAAAAAAATAAAAATACATCGTTACCATCATAAGATCTGACAAGCTAATGGCAAAAAAAAATAAATCAAAATACTCATTAAGGACATTCTGAACACGATCATCTCCCATTCGATCTCTACTCGTTGCTCTCCCTCTTCCACACATACGTTGCTACTCTCCCTTCCCGACAGTGCCGCCACCACTAAAATCGTGTCCACCTCACCACCGTCACCTTCCACAACCTCTTGTCCTTCGTCGACTACCACTCCCGGTCGAGATTCCTCATTGCCTTCATCCCGCCAGTGATGGCGGCCGCCTGTCGCCTCCGCGCCAGAGAGGTTCCTAACAATGGCCATGACGCAGGGCCGGCTCTTTGGGGAGGCAGCCTAGGTCCATGCCTATGGCCTCCCCATATATTTGGGGTACCATTTTTTTTTTCAATAATATGTATTTGTGATGAGTTTGGCCTATTTGAATATATTAAGTGGTTCATGGCTAAATATAAACTTGACCCATTATACAAATGAAGGAGCTAATTAAAGAATAGGCTAATGGCTAAATATGTACTTTGTGTGGAAATTTGAAGCCCTAAATATTTCATTTGTTTTCTTATGATGTTCGCTTAGAACAATTGTGTGATAGTAAATATTTTTTGCAGTAATATGGTTTTTTTGTTCTCATGACTGCTTGAATGTAATTTATTAAAGATCTTTGTAACCCGTAGTAATTTATCAATTCCAAGGTCTAGAAAAAACAAGATTTTTTTTCAATTATTTATTTATTTAATAGTCTTGTTTAATTAGGTTTCTTTTTTTTTTTTTTTTATGATTCTATCTGCAAATAGCCTAATTACCAGAAAAGGATAAACTTGTCTAGGGCCTCCAAATTTCTAGAGACGGGCCTGCCATGACGTTGGAGATTAGCTTGAAGACGTGCTTCTGGCCGACCACTAGCGCCCGACGAACTGCCTCATCAATGCCGCTGTGGGAGAAGTTGTGGAGGCATGACTCCTGTTTGGTTTGGGATACACATCTCTCGTAGCGTCAAGGACCTCCAGCACCACTCGTCGACGCTTCATCATCAATGATCGGAAATGGGAGATAGCGGCGAAGTTCACGAGGGTGAGGGGCTTCAATTTGGAAATTAGTTAATTCATACGGACTTGTCTATAAATTTATGAATTTTAACATATTACAATTTAATCATTCAGGATAATTTGTAATTTAACCAAAATTTGATAATTGCACAAAAATGTAAATGAAATACACAATACAACGTGTGGATATGAACATTAAAAATACCGTCGTATTATTATGGTATTACAAATTTACCACCGCCTACACATTTAAAACTTCGCTATGTTCCCAATAAAAATCTACAATTTTTTAACTTATTCACAAAAAAGGCCGCCAGGTCCGGGCCAAAGATTGGCCGACCCTGAACCGACCCGAACATATGCACGAACTGGTTCGGTAAACCACTGGTTCTTGACTGGACAGGTTCATAAACAAAAAATAAATAAAAAAAATCAAAAAATAATAAAAAAAAGGTCTAATCGTCGGGCCGGTTACGATTCGAAACTAGCCCAGCAGTTCAAAAAGTGCATGTATGAGGCCCAGAATTGACTCGGTCGAACCATGGGCCCGGTTCAAGACGCATTGACCATGGGCCGATTCCAGGCCGGATCAGGACGATCGGTGGGCCGGGTTAGCCCGTGGCCATGTCTACTTGCAAATTGTGATGAGAATTAAAATTCTCGAACTAGATAGCAACCTAGTACTAAAATTTCTATAGCCTATTGGTAAAATCTTATATGACCAGAATTACAATTTTACTGATTTAATTAATTTATACAATTAATTTAGATCCATCCGCTAACCATAGTTTTTGTGATAATAAAGTATAATGGGATGTTTTTCGGACAGGTTATATATTTTTTAGGTATATAATTTTTTTATTAACTGTGTGTTTCATTGTGGGGAGATGAATTAAAAAACAGTGAGCACGCTATTGCTTCTCGAACCAAACGATGACAATATTTGTGGGTTGGTTGCGTGCATATTTGTCCTAATCCTTTTCCTGCATCACTCATAAAGAATTTTCTCTTTATTATTTACACTCCCACTTTCTCTCTCCTCTTTTTTCATGCTTTGTCTCTATGTATTCACTATTCAACTGAGAACTCTTTAATATATAGTACAATGTGCCAAAATATTTGGCCATTAAAGCCAAGATTGCCATTAACCACCTCCTCCTCGTTTCTCTCTCTTCTCTTATCTTCATTTGTTCTTTCAGTCTTTTGTATATTTGTTTTCTCAATAGCTTCAGTCTTGAGACCACAACAATTAAAAGCTTTGCTCTTGTGAGGAAAAGACTTTGTGGGCTTTCATTAGTTTAAGCTTGGGTCAAGGTATTATTTCTAAAATACTTATTATATTTGACACCTGCCAAGTGTTTACTTTTATCACCTCCAACAAGTCATTCTTCGATTTTGTTTCCAAAAAATTATGCAATTTCTATCTTCTAGCTAATTAACAAGTGCTTATCTTGATTATTTTTGCTTCGTTTTGCAGCAAATCACTATTTAAATTGTTATTTGTTAAAAAAAAAAAAAGAAAATGGAGGACTACTCGAGAAAAGACGAGCACGGGTGTCATCAGTTTCTTGAACTGATTCCACAAGAAAGAGAAGGGCTTTTTGGTAAGAGTTCAGAGTTTCAAAGCCATGGCCTTTCAGAAGATCAAAAGCTTGAGCTGAGCCTTGGTCCACCAGGCGGCGGCTGGACCCAAACAGACGATAACAGCTCCCGGAGAAACCAACACTTTGTAGATTTCGGATGTTTCCCTAACAGATCTCCATGGCAAACCCAAGCCACAAAAACTCATCTTGCTGTGACGAATGAGCCGTCACAGCCCAGTGGCAATAGAGTGGCCGCGGATTTGAAAAACCCGGAAAAGAAGGCCTTTTCTCGGTCACCTGCAAATACAGCTGTGCCTAATAATGCTAGCGGTGCTCAGAAAAGGTGCCTCCCTCACGCCTTTTATTCTTAGCAGCATATTGTTTTTTTTTTTGTTTTTATTTATATCTTATTTAGTTATAGTTGTTTTTTGGACAGAGGATAATATTGCCGCTGTTTTACTAACATTTGTTACATGTTGTGGTCCTTGCATTTCTTGTTCTTCACTCTTTATTGTCTGCTGTACGTCAGATTTTGGCTCCGAGATTTTTATATTGTTTGGGGTTTGTTCACATCCTTTTTATGAAAGGATAAGCCTGTCTCTATTTCATTTTTGTTTTTTTCCTTTGTACTGTGTCTCCCTCTATTATTTGTTGCTTTTGATTTTAATCCTTTCAATTTATGTTTCTTGTTAATAATAATACATGTGGGTGACAAAATGTGCTACCGTATCGTGTTCGCTTTTCATTGTCGTGTTTTCGTGCTAATTATTTTATTTGATCTTAATCATGATAGTAATTAAACTAAATTTAACTCTATTTTATTATTATTATTATTATTAATATTAATATTATTATTATTATTATTATTATTATTATTATTATTATTATTATTATTATTATGTTATGCCCTTTGTGTGTTTTTCGTCTCGTGCCAATCGTGTCATATACAGTCTCTAATTCGTGTTTCTTGTCGCCTCATATAGTAAAATTCTTTACTCACAGTTACTTCTAACAATTACACATGTTTTGCTAAAGTTAATCTGCTTTGTATTCACATAACACATGTTGAAGCAAGTATTTGTAGCTAGTTTTATTAAACTTGTGTGCCATTTTTCTGCAAGTTTTGAAATATTTCCCACCTTAATTTTGCTTGCATAACAATACAATAATATTAAATTTTGTTGTACACAAATAATGGTACAAACAAATAGGACTGCCCCTACTCCAGTTGTGGGATGGCCTCCCATTCGTTCGTTCAGAAAGAATCTTGCAAGCGGAAGCTCGTCTAAATCAGCCTCCGACCCAAAAAATGAAAAAAATTGTGATGGTAAATCGGTTGAAATTCACCCGAAAACTCTGTTTGTGAAGATCAACATGGATGGGGTACCAATTGGAAGAAAAGTCGATCTTAAGGCTTATGATAGCTATGAAAAGCTCTCATATGCTGTGGATGAGCTATTCAGAGGCCTTCTTGCAGGTTCCAATGATCACAACATGTAACATTATTATATATATTGTAATATAAATATTAGTAGTTTGCTTTTGAAGTAAGTAATTTTTTGTGAAGCAAGTAATTTGCTATGCCAACTTGTTAATATTTAAAAATTGACTTATCATTCATTGTCTGTAATTATGTTATTTCCCTCCAAATTGTGTTTGTAGCGCAAAGTGATTTTTCAGTTGAGGAGGAAAAGAAAGTTGCGGGAGGACTACTGAATGGAAATCGGGAATACACGCTCGTTTATGAAGACAATGAAGGTGACAGGATGCTTGTTGGGGATGTCCCGTGGCAGTAAGTTTATCCATATATTTGACGACATCTTATTTTTATTTTAATTTTCTTTTTACGTAATTTGCAGAAACTATATATGAAGTCTTGCATCATAAAAAAAATTCCTAATTTTTGCAGCATGTTTGTTTCAACCGTCAAGAGGCTCCGTGTGTTGAAAAGCTCTGAACTACCGGCATTCTCTCGTGAGCATATCCATAATTACACTTAATAAACAATTCCTTAATTTCGACAATTAAAAAAAGAAATCACTATTATTCGCAGGTGGAAGCAAACGGGGGAAGCAATTAGCGGTTGATGATGCTTCTGCTAAGTAAAAATGTGTAGCCTCTTGTCTATTATTGTGCATGAGATGGATAAGATTTTTCTTGTAATGCTGTTCCTAATTGCTTGTATGTAAACTTGTTTTGTTCTTGAATTTGGACCTTTTATGGAAATAGGAACTTTTAAGTAATTTGCATAATTGCATGTTCAGATCAGCTGCAAAATTTGGGGTTTGTTATTGCATTCGTCTACTGTTTTCTCGAATGTTCTTCAGTTGGGAAGTGTTTTGATTGCGGTGGATATGTTTTTTACTTGGAGTAAGATGAAGTTGCAAAATTCAAATTTAGTGATTTTCCAGAATACCTTCCAATCTCAAACGTAAGAANAAAAGCTTTTAGTTTGGAATACCTTCCAGTGTCATGTTTTTGCTTGCAGTTTGGGATTACTATAGAAATGTTGACTTTACACCTTAAAAATGCACAAAATAATAATCTATTACTATATAATACGGAGAAGAAAAATTATTTGAACAATTCGAAAATAATCATTTCGTTTTCCCTGTTTTTCCGCTTCTTCAATTCGTAAATTTTTTTTTTGAATTTTTTCAGCCCATGCAATTAGGTAACCAATCAAATCGAATCTTTCAACATTCAATTTGGTAAGGTGTTCCGATTTTAGCATTCAAATCCGATTTCACTTCCTTTTTTTATGCCGATCAATCCGATTTTTTTGGTTGTTTCAAAATTTGTTTAGATTTATATTTTTATTTTATTAATATATTTGAAAGAGAATCAATAAATGTTTATCATAACTTTTATTTTAAAAATAAATTTGAATAAGCATACCTTTTACTTTATATGAAATTCTAAATTACATATTTTAATATATTAATAAACGTTTATGATTTATTTTTTCCTTATGTGATATAATAGAATTTCGATATTAAATTTGTAAATTCAAACATTTAAAGGAAAAGATTCCAAACAATTTTTTTGGGTAAATTTCATTTTATCTTGGTTTTCATTATCACATTTCTAACAAACTAATTAGTATTATATTTTTTTATCTACATTATCTAACCGATTTTTTATGATACAATTAATATAATATCTTAACAAATTAATCATTTGTCTAACCGGATTTATCTCTCTAACAAACTTGTCAATTTTTTTAAAATTAAAAGGGTATGATTATTCTTATGGAGATACTTATCAATATATTAAATATTTAGAAACTTTTTTTAAAAAATGAGTTATCCCTCCTTTTACTTTATTTGAAATTCTGACTTATATTTTTAAATATATTATTATTTTTTACATGTAAATATTTATTATTTATTATCTAAGTGATAAATATTATTGATTTATCTCTTTAATAAATATTTATTATTTATTTTTTTCCTTACGTGATATAATGTAAATTTGGTTACTAGATTTTTAAATTCAAACATTTAGGAAAAAACCACGAACAAATTTTTTGGTTACATTTCATTTTATTTT